TATTATATAATTATAAAATATTATTATAAAACTATAATATCATAGGATTGGCATGTTATGTATCTTTTTCTGCTGCACTAGTAGATCTTTAGCACCCAATGTACTACAAACTAAGCATTAAAGAGAAAAGTCAAAGGAAAGACTGTGCATGGTCCAAGATCTAGGGTAAAGTACATGAAAGGATAAGGCTTGGTCTATGAAACTTAGAATCTCATACGAAACTCATAATCAAAATTTTGCAAGTGATAATTATTGGAGACATATTAGGTAATATTTCTTGAAAAATATGTTCAAATGAGAAAAATGAATTATAATATGTGAAAATATCACTTGAGCTTCTTACCTAAGTAATGTACCTATCTTACAATGGTATATGGTTGTGTTCTAAACCTCTTAATAAACATGTAGTCATTATAATTTATATTAATGGCTCGAGATGCTTGTGGTTATCTTGGTCAATAGTACATGTGGTAATTTAATAGTTTAATGCTTAATGTTATTAACAATTGATATGTGATTAATGCAATGCTTGTATATAGCTAATTTGTGATTATTATTTTTGAATGATAAAAATAATGAATAAATATGTGCATGAAAAAATGGGTTTATAAAAAATTTGAGAACCTAACTGAAAAAAACTAAAGAAGAGAGTTACCCATTTATGAAAATGAAAGTGATGCATTTGAATGACCTAGTGAAGATTTTGTGGGTGGTGTTGTAGAGAAAAGAGATTAAATTTTTTGCAACCACTGAACCACAAACTAGGCCTTTGGTAAAGAGAAAAGGTTGAAAAAAGGACTACGAGCATAATCTACAGTCTAGTATACATGAAAGGGATAAGACTTGGCCTAAAAAGCTTAAAATCTCCAATGAGGATAGCTAACTCCTAATTAGAATTTTGCAGGCAATAATTTTTAGAGACTGATATCAAGTAATATTTCTTGAAAAATGGGTTTGCATGAGAAAAATGAATCATAAAGAAATTGTTTATGAAGGTACATCACTCAAGTTTCTTGCTTACACATCCATCCTTAAAGTATGAACGTAAGTATCCTACAACAATACATGGTTGAGATCTAAAACCTTTAGTAAACTTGTAGCTTGTTTTGAGTGGTGTGTTTGAGTTGTAGGGGCACTATTGATGGATTTTATTTACATGGGTATCGTAGTGAAGTTGTTTATGTAAAAATTGGATGCGCAATTTTCTAATTTAACCATGAAAACTAGGATCATGCATGATATCATATTACACCAGTTATATGAAATACTCAACTCTTGGATCATTATGTGTGATGGAATTCTTATATGTGCATACAAATCAAAACCAGAAGGCGAAAATAATAAAATAAAATCCGATAAAGGAGTACGACGGCTCGTGTATTCTGGACTGATATTGACTGGTGTCTGTGGTGGTGGTGGTGGTGGTGGTGGTGGGGTTAGGTCAGAGTTGTTGCTTCTTCATTTGTCAAATTGCTACTCCTTCTCCTCCGATCTCTTCGAATCTCACCCTGCATTGCTCTTCTCTTTAGATCTGAGTTACCCCAAGGGTAATGTGGTGAGGTGAGGCTCTCCCGGCGACAATGGATAATAGCAACGCACCACATCGCTTTCGGAGAATATCTCGACATAACCCTGCGCATCTCAACTTGGTCAGTTCTCTGCTTTCCCACTTTCCATTTTTAATCTCTTCTGTGTTTTCCCTTAAAATGCTGTTTGATTTGTGGAATTATGTGAAATAATTTCAGAAAAATTAGTTTACCAAATTTAGGTTCTTCAAAAGCTACAAATTTTTAGTTTAGTTTCAGCTTGTACCCCTTTACTACAAGCTGAAATCAGCTGGCCTGAGAAGCAGTTTTAAGAATACAATGATTTGCCATTAATTTCTTCTCTTCTTTTATTTTTTGGGTAGCAGCTCGATGAAAATTTGGAGCAGTGGCCTCATCTGAACGAACTGCTCCAGTGCTACACAAGTGACTGGGTGAAAGATGAGAGCAAGTATGGGCATTATGAAAGTGTCAGTCCTCCTCACTTTCACAATCGAATATTTGAGGGGCCCGATTCTGATATCGAGACTGGTAAAATTTTGTTCATCTGCTTTTGATTTGATTTGGTTTGATTCCAAGAGCATTGACATTTTGTTAACCATTTAATCTATTTTTCATGTCAAATTTCTGCAGAAATGAACCTTGCAAATGCAAGGCTAACCAAGGGTGAAGATGCTACTGATGATGACACCCCAAGTACCTCTGGACGCCAATTTGCAGACTCTCATGTTTCTCAGGTTTTGCTTTTTAACTTTTTATCTGGCTATTGGTTTTATTTGTTTATGTATTAATTATTTTGAGGTGTTGATTTCTCTCGTTTTCCTCCTTAATTTTAATGACATGTTTAGCGTTTTGGCCAATCTCCCCTACCTGCTTATGAACCAGCTTTCGAGTGGGAATATGAGAGGTCAATGATATTTGGCCAGAGGACTCCAGAGACCCCTGTGGTACACCATGGCAAGTTCAGAATCTTGCTTCTTACTAAAATTATGTTGAGATTTATTGGTTTGCTTTAGACCAATCTCTCACAGTCTATGATATCTTGTCTGTTGGGATGGGTGGCCTTAGTGGTTTAGAGTTTTTTTCATTTAATTTTTAAATTATTTATTTAATGATCTATATTTAAAATAATTATATAATTATTATTAATGCATCAAAATTATAATTTTTTTGATTAAAAGAAATGGTATTTTTTTTACTAATTAAATTACCATCTTCTTAAAGTTTTTTAATCAATCTTATATAAACTTGTGCACATTCACTTAATTTTTTTAGTCAAATTACACAAAGATTATATCCTTAATTATAAATTTTTAAAAATACTAGTTTTGATTAATAAAGTAAATGTCATATCTTTGATTAAAAAAATACTAAGAAGTTTTGTCCTTAGTAGGAGGAATCTCCTAATTTCAACAATTGAACATCAAATCCTAATAACAGAAGATGAGAAAAGTTTTGTCTTGACAACAATGAAGATTTAGTGGTATGATTTAATTTTTTTTGCTCTTATTATGATAAATAATTGTATTAAGATAATTCATTGTATTCTTTATATATATTTTTGTTCAAAATAAATATCTAATATCCTATCATTGTGATATTTGTTGTTTTGATAATGTTCCTGGGCCTTGCTCTAGTCTAGTTTTGCATACTTTATACAAGGGTTTCAAAAAAGTCAGAAAGTAGCTAGAAAGATTAACCAATTAAGTCTCATCTAATCAAATATGGCATTTGTATGCTAAAAGGTGAATCCTTTTGGTCTATTTGTAACCATAGATCCAAAGGGGGAACCAAACACATATATATACCTATCTTTGATTGGTCAAGTCTTGATAATCATAAATAATTAATTTGAATTGCTTTCCCACTAATATTGATGCAGTTTGGAAAAGACTGTTTTTGCTTCTAGCTTTACTTGTTATTCTTTATAATGTCTAAAAGACTCAAAAGAATCATTGCATTTGTAGAGTTGATTCCACTTACTAGTTCTTCTTCAATGTTAGTCAATGACAATTAGTCGCATTAATTTAAGATGTTTCTTTATAATTGCTTTCTTAGTATCAATTCCTAGCTAAAAAAAAAATTATGTTATTATGCATATTCTATGGTTAATGATGATCCACTACTCTCTTCTAATATTATATAAAGGCCACAATGAAAAAAGTTTGCTCTATGCTCACCCCACTACTCCTGTTATAATGCAAGTATTTGAAATTTTTTTTTAAAGGCTCTTCTCAAACTTATAAATTACTATTTATAACTGTTTAATCTATTTTTCATGTCAAATTTCTGCACAAATAAGCCTTGCAAATGCAAAGGCGAACCAAGGGTGAAGATGCTACTGATGATGACACCCCAAGTACCTCTGGACGGCAATTTGCAGACTCTCATGTTTCTCAGGTTTTGCTCTTTAACTTTTTTATCTGGCTAAACCATACCGATCCATCTGAAGTAGTATAATTGGGAATATCTCGAGATTGAAACTTCATATCATCCGGAATCAACTACCAAAATAAAAACCATTATCAATAGAGATGCAGAAGACATATATGGCATAATCAATTAATCACATGTCAAGGAGATAAAGTACGAGCAATTAAAGACACCCAATTTTGTAATCCACCCTGCAAAAAATGAATCCTGGAACATTTTCTACATAGATTGGCCCAACCCTAAAGAATTATGTTTAATATATGTAATAAGTTTCTTGTGAGTAATATGCTGTCTTGTTACATTAGATAAAGAACTTATTTAATTTATCAAATTTATGTTTCTTTGTATTTTGTATTAGCATCTTGCTTTTTATGTAGCTTGTTAAGTGTGTGAAAGTGGAGTTCCTAAGTTCCTCATTAGTAAGCTTCACCATACATCAATTGCTAAGTTTCAAAAAGTAAAGCATTTCCAAAAAAGAAAAAAAAAAGGGACACAAAACATGTTAGCTCTTCCATGTCAATTGCTAAACACAGTACCTAATTCAATCAAAGGAGTTCTATTTTTCTTGTGGGACATAGAAAAGCTCGATGAAAACAATAAATGATTAGACCCTGGAAATTTCATCAAGGTAAAGAAAATTCAAGTTTTCATCAACAAAAGCCACAACGTAAGCAATAAACAAAAAAAGAAAATGCATTACTTCCAAGCAAATTGACATCTCACAGATGGCATAGATTTGAATGGAAAAATGAAAATGCTTGTCACAAGATGAATATAGCGATCCTCTTGGAGCAGCAACCTTATTAAAAGGGGAAAAAATACTTCCATGGTTTGAAACAAAAATTTGAACAGATCCAGCTTCTGCAAAGAATCCCATCTGTAGGAATCACAAATGCAGTTACCAGTAAAGCAGTAGAAATCCATGGTTCGTAAGATAATCTTATCATTAAGTGAGGAGACTAGCAAATGGAAAACAGTTACCTTGTTGACCATGGTCACAACAGCTTCTAAGATCTCACCTTTAAATGGTCTAAAGAGAACACATTGATACTTCACAGGGAATGTCACAAATCCTGTACCATTGCAAATCAAGCCTTTCCCAATATTCTCTATACCTGTTATAGCTACCACGAATCCATGTTGGCCACTGCAGGAAATCAGAATAGAATCCGTTTGGTATTTCAAGTAAAATACTCCTTAAAACTAGATAATATTTGTGCCTTAACAATAATATTATAACAAAATAAGTACATTTTTAATTTTTCTAAATATTATATTATTTTTTAGAGTTACATGTGGTTTGAGTCTAACCATACTATTCAAGTGTAGTTCATGTGATGAAATTATTAAAATGACATTAATAAAATAATATAAGAAGAGTTTTATTAAGTATATTTTAAGAAATTTATATATTAAATTGCACAGCTTATTTTTATAATTAATTTATAAATAAAGATTACAACACTAAGTATCCTCTAAATAGAACATGTTACTTTGCTCAAAAAAGAAAGTTCCTCTACGTTCTTTACTTTCTTACACTATTTTATTATTTTAAATATTCTTAGGTAAAAAATGTGTCTTGAATTAGGTTACTTTATAGATAATACAGATTTATAG